GAAGAAGAAGAAGAAGAGAGAAACTGCAAGACTGGCCAACTGGTCCAGAGCGAGGCTGCAGAAGCAGCAAGAAGCCACAGGAACTTCTGGTGAGTTTCTCTCAATGGTGGCATTACCACAAGCTGAGCTCAACAATGCTATGTACAGGAAAACCAATACATGCGTGTCCTCAGGGAAGAATAGCAAGGCAGAGCAATCAAAACAATGCTCAGGGCTCCTCAATTACTGTCTGTGGGCTCATATTTATACTCCTTCATCATGGGTCCTTTCATGTGTCTGCTTCAAGAAAACATTCTTTCACCTGTCTGCTCTAGCAAGACATCCTTTCACCTGTGTGCCACAAGAGAACATCATTTGACATAACTGACTTTCCAAAGAAGCCAGAATTTTCCACTTCACATCACTGTGGAGTCTGGGCACCCTATAAACAGAGCTCATCTTCTATGTCTCTCATTCTGTAGCCTTCAGAATTCTGTAGCTCAACAGAGACCCAATTCTCCTCTTTCCCACGAGGGGAGTGTTTTATAATAGATTCTGTATGCAAAGTTTGTTCTTGAAACACTAAGATTTAATCCACATGTAGGAACCCTGCCTTGAGTTTACATGGGACACTTGGCATTTTGCTGTTTTTGTTGAGCCCATGTATGTAGGTTAGTACTTTCATCCCCTAAGTGGTTTAAACAGCCTTCTTTGGCCTTACAGACTCTTTAACAAATCTATTCAAGGCCCATGCTAGCTGACCTAAGATGTGAAAAAGAGCCACTGGCTGAACTGACAGCATGGTTGTGACATCACCTAAGTCCTACCCTATGCCTTCTCAGTTTTGATCCTGCCACTAGGTATCCCAGAGATCATTTCCTTTTACCTTCATTGGTCATAGAGTCTTCATTAGTTAGCCATGTTCCCACCCCCCTCCGTTTCAGCACCACCAAGGCCTGTTCTCCAGTAGTTTTCATCCTCTCAGATGTTTGCTTTCTCCAAATAGTGCTAGCTATTTAGAGGCAAGCTGTTGCCCATTTTTCTCTGACTATTTCTTTGAGAGGGAGAGCAATCTTGCTGTGTAGCCTCTGATACACATCCTGCCCCACAGCATGCTTCCTGCACCCTCCCATGTGAGGGGAGTGCAGACATGAAATTCTAAGGCATTTCTGAACTTCCATAGCTCTTCCTAGAGCCCCGAATCCCTGGACGAAGACCTAAGTCTCCGTTACTCACTCTGCATTACCATTGTAAGCCTGAAGACATTCTCAGATTTTATCTGTCGTACTTTAACCTCCTTTGTTCCATAATTCTCCCTGATTCTTGACCTCCCCATCATATCTCAAAATAACTCTAGCCACTAAAAGTTTCCATAACTCTCTCCATGGGGGAGTTCCTGGGCGCATCTATTAATTGGCTAGTTCTCTGCCAAGGGGGAGCCAGATCTCAACAGTGAGAGCCTTGGCTGCAGGCACCTGAAAACTGGACCTGCGATGAATCCGGGTCCCTTTGATTTATCAAAACCCGTGACCGTTTCAGTCTAAAGCAATGCCGACAACATTCTAGTGTTTCTACCACCAAAGGGTGCCCGGCACCTCCAGAGTAGGATTCCTTATATTCTTTTTTGCAAACACAGGGAGAGGATGTAGCCAACGTCCCTGCTCACTGGTCTCTGAGTGGATGTGGCACTCATCCTAGTCCCCAAGAATCTTGTCTAATTGGCATTGTCTTTCTCTCTCGAATGACATCTGGAACACAACTTCTCTCTAGCCGAGAACACCTGAAGCCCCTGCTTCCCTTGTTTGTGTGTAGTGAGTCTGATTACTGATTTTTTTGCAAGGTTAGGTTCCAAAACAAGACTGTTTTATTTCTGAGATCAGAAGATGCCAGTAAAAATGGAAATGATCCGGCTGAAAACAGTACTCTTTCCCGATTCTGGTCTGTTAGTGAGTGCCACACTCACCTGAAACTGAGATTGTCCCCACAACTGTATTGCTGGCACAAGTCCTCTGGGAACTGCAGGGGGACTCTGCCCATGTCTGCCCCCTCCACGGTCTCAGAAACATCCATTCAGGGCACCACAGGCGGTAGGGTCTCCAAGGGTTTGCGTGCTGCGCTTCTGACCTTGGCCAGAGAGGATGCTTCTAACAACCTCACATACTGAAGAAGCTGCAGCCAGACATGCCTTAGTCTCAGTGAGGGAGCACTGAATAGGAGGCTCAGTAAGGCTGTGGGGATCACTTGAGGGAAAGCAGGGACAACTGAAGAAAATGAATGGTCATTTGAGGAAGAACCCTGGAGGAGCTAAAGAATTGGGCACAGGTTGGAAGCAAGTATAGGAGGTTGTTATCCGGACTAGAAAGAGATGGGGTCAAGAGTAGTGAAAAACCACCCCCGAAGATGGAAAACTTCTGTGCAAAGAACCCTTCTCTTGCTCTTTCTTGACGCCCCTCCAAGGCAAAACAGAAGACCCCTTAGTATCTTTTTTGCCTCTGTAGCTTCTGTCACAGTCATACCTCTTCACCTCGTCCCTACCCCAGCCATCCACCCCTTGAAATGGGAGCTCCATGGGGCAGGGTATCTCAGAGCTTTGTAAACTTTGTAATTGTAGTGTCACACAAAGTTCCGAAGGTGCTTAAGGTCCTCAGAAAGTGTTTGTTGAATAGCCAGCTGGGGAAAGGTACCTTTTCCTTCTCGTGGGCAACCTGGACATGGCAGGAGATTGGGGCAGCACGGACATCATCCAGCAGCCATTGAGGAAAATGGATGACTTGAAGAAGGCTCTCGATGCAGCGAGCCTTGGACTGTCCAGAGAACCTCTGTGGAAGAAGCAATGAGGTCAACATTAGGGTAGGTGCCTAGGAGAACTGAGAATAGTGTCCCAGGAGAAGGGAAAGACATGAGAAAGTGGGAGCTGTAATCCTGAAGACTGGCTGAAGACACTGTAGAAAATTTGTTCTGTTATCACGAGGTATACAGAAAAACTAGGTGAAAGGAGTTGGCGTAACCCATCAGCTACCCATAATGAATGGAAAATTGGTGAGATTTACAACTGGGTTCAACAACCCCATAGGTCAATGATCAAGGATAGCAACCAAACTTCAAAGCCATCCACCATGCTCTCTGGTCAGCAGACATTCTCACCCCTCTCTGGCATTAGCTCCTTTCTTTTCCCTTGTATAACTGTTAGTCTCTGTTCTGGGGGCCGTAAGATAAAATCAAGCCCATCTCCCATCCCATCCCAAAGTTGGGTTGACACAAAGCAGGTGGGCAGAGCATCCTTTCCCCTGGAGGACAGTGATTGGTTCAAGGTTGTGCACAGGACCCAAGACAGGCCAATAGGAGCCCTCTGCCAGGCTCTCCCCAAGTCACCAGGGACAGAGAGACTCCTTCTCACTGGGGTTGCTAATTGCCAGGATGTTAGACTAACACTTTAGCTTAGAGGAATACAAGTTGGGTTTCTTTTTTGCTTTATTTGTTTTTGTTTTTGTTTTGAGACAGGTCTTCTCTGTGTAGTCCTGGCTGTCCTGGAACTCAGAGATCCGTCTGCCTCTGCCTCTGGAGATTATAGGCATGCACCTCCACTGCCCGGCTAAGAGTTGGGTTTCTGTTGCATCCTTGAAACTTAAAGAATGTCACCTGGAGGTTATAGTTTCACACTCATGGACTGCTCAGGGACACAGAGGTCCCTGAAAGCACTAAGGGAACCAGGAATGTCAATCATGTGCCTTTATCTCCTCAATGAAGGAGATAAAGATCAAATACCTGCATTCCTTCCAGAAAGCTGAGAGTGGATTTTGTGATCAACCTGGTGACCTTTTGCTCCTCTGTGGAGGCTGACCTCCCTCACCTTTTGTTATAGAGACAGACCTCACCCAAATTCCCCAGAATGTTTATCCCAGACTCTTCCCTCCCTAGACCATTACCATCCTTAGGGAAGATGTCACCTGTACTTTATGGCCTGCTGACCTCTATGCTCAGAGACCACACTTGATTCAAAGCCTTTTAGCTATAGAACCTACCCTCATGGTTACGTGTACTTTGTAAAAAAGTTTCTATGTAGTCACACCTTAAGCTTTATTGTGCACTTAGCATTGAGTTGACTGCATTGAGTTGGAAACCTTTTCTAAAAACGTACGGTGTTTTAAATATACCCACAGTCAACCACTTGCTTTAGACTCCCTGCAGTCTGATCCAGGTTGACAATGCCAGTCTACACTGGGTTTTCATTCTTATCTATTCCCGTGGTTTGCTTCCCTATAGGACACCTGCAGGGATCCCCTCACTGTACTTGTGTGTAAAAACACATGCAAATCAGAGACTATGCCTGAGAAAGATATGTCTGTGAAGAAAATAGACCTTGGCCCTACATCCCTTCCCAACTGTGCAAAGACACTTTCTGTGGCCATCTAGGTTTGGAGGCCCCATCACGCTCTGACCTGCAACGTGGCCAGTGCCCTCCAGAAGAGTTTGGAGTTGGCGATGCAGAGGTCCAGCATGTGGTTCTGTAGGATCTTTCCCAGCAGCACATGGGCCCCAGTACTCACTGTATTCAATACCCACTTGGTGCTTAACTCACGCTGGAACTTCTAAAATGCAAACACACAGCAACATCGGAAGTTAGAGGCTGAGAAAGAAACAGGGTGAGAGCTGCCTGTGAGTAGGAAATCAGACACCAAAAGGCAGATCATTTGTTTGATGATACAAGGCTTTAACAATCTTTTAAACTTTTTATTCTGTTCTCCTTAGCGCTAAACTTAACCCATAATCCCCAGTTGCTCAGGACAAATAATTTCCTGAATCGCTGGGGGCTGTTTTTATAAAATAACAAGCTACCTATTTTCACTTCAGTAAACAAGGTGCTTGCCCCAACTGAGTAGGATGTGCTTGATCACAGATAGGTGGCAGGTATGTAGTCAGGAAGTACATCCGAATGTGTGCTTGCCCCTGATTGGATGAAGGCAGGATGTACACAGCCCTGTGGGTTTTGCCTTTATAAGCACCTGATCAGCAAAATTCAACACCATCTCTGGGAACCCTGGGTATGGATGGAGCTAGTGTCCATCTTCCTGGCCAGTATTTAATAAAGCTTGCTTTAATTAGGCAAGCGTGGATTTGGTCTTTCTCCTAGACATTTTCATATTTATCTACTTTCTTTTTAAAAACAAGTTATTGTATTTTTAATGTGTATGTGTGTATGCATCTGTGTACCAAATGCATGTTGTGAACTTGGAGGACTGAAGAGGGTATCAGATGATTAGGAACTGAGGTTACTGACAGTTGTTATCTACCAGGTGGGTGCTGACAGTTGAACTGGGTCTTCTGGAAGAACAAGAAGTGCTCACAACTGCTAGGGCCTCTCTCTAGCCCCCACAGTTTCATTTGACCCTTGGAGGATCCATAGATCCTATGATGTGGGAGGAGACATTTATCTACTAGTCTCCCTGAAGGCAGAGGTGGTGCCTAACTCTACTCCAGAATCTCAGTCCTTCTGATGATATGAAATTGTCATAAAAACCCTTGCAAGAGTGTATGCTAGAAACTTTTTTGTTCATTTTTAAAATATTTTCTTTTTATTGTGTTTATCTGTGTGCATGACTGTGTGACACAGAGTGCACATGGAAGTCAGAAGACAACCAATGGGAGTCCAGTCTCTCCTTCTATCACTTATGTCCTAGGGATTGAACTCAGATCATCGGATTTGGTGGCAAGCACCTTTACTCACTGAGCCATTTTACCTCCCCGCCCCTTTGTTGTTTTTTTGAGACAGAGGCTCACTGTCTGGTCCAGTCTGGTCTCAGCCTCCCAAGTGCTGGAATTATAAGTATGCAGCAACATACCTAGATATACTAAGTTTATTATTATCATCCTTATCATCATCATCATCCTTATCATCATCATCATCATCATCATCACAGGGATGGCAGGGATTGAACTCAGATTTCCAGGCTTATGCAGCAAGTGTTTTTACCCATTGAGCCATCTCACTGGCCCTTTACTGCCATTTAACAAGTACATGACACAGTCATTGGGTAAGAGAACAATCAGATTGGTGGGTTCTCTGTCAACTCCACATAGTGTCATCTAGGACAAGGGAGTGCCAGTTGAGGGATTGTTTCCATCAGATGGAACTGTAGGCATGTCTGTGGGGCATGCTCTTGATTAATGATTGACATGAAAGGTCCCTCCTGTGTCAAGTGCCATCCCTGGGTGGGTAGTCCTGGGGCACAGAAAGCAAACTTTGCAGACCATGGAGAGCAAGCCAGTGACCTGCATTCTCTATGACTTCTGCTTTACTTTCTGCTCTGGCGTCCCTCACTGATGGAGTTTGACCTGTGAGTTGTGAGATTCGATAAACACTTCTCTCTGATGCTGCTGTGGTTATGGTATATTTATCACAGCAATAGAAACCCTAACTGAGACAGATGCTATATGCCATTTATCACACTGCCTGTAGGAAAGAAGCCAATTAAATCTGAGTTATATTATTAGCCATTTATCCCATTAGTATCACTGACAAAGTTAAAGTTTACATGATTGACTTTAAAGTTCAAATAGAAAAATAAATCTGCAATTATAGCTAGGAAAGTCCTTAATATTTAATGAAGGACTGGGTCTTCTAAATGTTAAACATATAATAAACTCTCTATAATTAAGCTCATGGCATTAGCATATCAAAGGACAGACCAGTGAAAC